CCTGCTGAGATTCTCCTTCATGGGGAATGCTCTCTCATGCTTAAGTCTTGCAGCAAGGGGAGTATTTGGGTAATCGTGAGCCAGACTCTAGAACAGCAAATTGTGGATGCATGCTTGGAGTTGCAGGGCTGAATTGTAAAGATGCTCTGGTCCCATTAGCAGACACAAGGGTTTTCTGTGAGGGCACCATGAGTTGGGATAAGTAGAGAGGAAAAGCCGATAACACCATTGCTTGTTGCCTTGCAGGCAGTTTGAGAGGACCCCTCCTATCATGGGGATTATCATTGATCACTTTGTGGACCGTCCCTATCCCAGCTCTTCACCCATGCATCCCTGCAATTACAGGTGAGGAAACACTGAGTTCAAGTCACGGGCCATGGCGAAGGCATCAGTTATGCCCAAATACAGAGCCTTTTCCACTATTTGCTAACTGCATGGGAAGGAAGACTGGAAGATTAGTGTCAGTCATACTGACATGATTGAGCATATGAGGAAGGCTGACATTTTTCCCCTCATGTTTAGAAGACTTGAGTGCAGCAAGCCACAGTATTTTCCCAAATTCTTTACAGAAGCACTTGGACATAAGTTTAACCTTGGCTGCCTTTGGGAATTTGAAAGTGTAACAGTTAATCCTGCTGTGGAACTACATGTCCAGAGGCATGTATCTCCAGATCAGAGTTTAATTTTTCTTTGAAGATGAGAGGTTTGACTTCTCTGAAATGCATGAGAGGGCACTCAGATTGGGACGAGTGGTATTGTTCGACAAAGGTCCTGAAAATAACAAAGCGAGTAGCATTAACTGGTATATAAAAAACTTTTAGTTAAATAAAAAAAACGATGGTGTTTCTGTGTGGGCATAGGGGAGCAGTGCCTGGGGAACATTTAATTTTTCATAGCTTGTTTTCCTCAGTTCTGCCAAGCAGATGAGAGCCCTTCATAATTCTCCTTTCAACTCCACCCAAATACTCTCAACCTCCTGCAGTGTTTGTCCCACTGTGTTCTACTATTTGTGTGTTTTAAGGAATATTTCCAGTTAGGAAGGTTTTCTCTTCTTGCTGCTTTAGAGCTGGTGAGGACAATGGTGCAGTATATCCCTCAGTAGAAGATTCCCAAGAAGTGTGTACCACGTCATTTTCCACCTCTCCTCCGTCTCAGGTAAGAGAAACCGGGCTTTTTTTTTTACTCCTAGATAGAACAGTCACTGTCAGGGTAGTATGCATGCTCCTGCATCAACTGCTGTGCAAGCAAGTGGCCTCCTGATGCTAATTCAGATTTAATCTGTGGGTTATTTATATTGCTACGCTCTGAGTAAAACCTAGTTAGATACCAATTTCAGAAAAATGCTGGGGACTAGAAAAACTGAATTACTGAAAAAGAGTTAAAGAACCTACTCCTATAGCTGAGCTGAGCTATGCTTGAAGAGGTTAGCAGTGTACTTACACACTCACATACAGATATTGCAAGAAAAGGAATTAAAGAGACTGATGCCAGGCAGCATAAATAGAAATAACAGACTGACATTGAAAAAGAAACACTGAAATATCCGGAAAATGCTTATAAAACAGTCATCTGCATTGCAGAATGGAAAAGCAGGAAAAAGACAAAAACTGTATTTACTGGACTATCTAAAAGTAGTTGGCACAGCAGGAATAAATATCAGCAAACAAACTGGGTTGTAATATTGAGCTAGGGCTTAACAGTCTGTACTTGCACCTACCCATGCAAATTTCACTTAAGTTTCAATTTTAAAATAAGTGGATAATGGTTTCCTTCTGAATATCAAAATACACAAACGCCAATCCCTTTTTCTTCTACTGTCCTTGTATATCTGGTTCCACAACTCCTGTGTTTTGAAGACTCAGCTATATTTGCAGTTGTCCTATAGCTTTAAATATCCAGGAATGTCCTCCCTTGTTGTCCAGCCAAGCAGATGGCTCTACTAATCTTTAAAGACAATCTAAAGACTTGAAATCTCTTTTGCTGTCAACATGAAACATAGAAAGGACTATAATTGGAATGGTGTTCCAAACTGAAAGAATTTGCTATGGGTCTTTCCACTGGAATTAGCAGAATGTATCCTACTGTATGAATGAACTAGAAAGGAGCTTTTCTTAGGAAGCGTTTTTGTGTGAAGTGGATTTTGGATGACAGGGTATCAGGGCTGAGCCAGTCATCCAGCACTCACGGTAAGTCTGATGGAATAAAGCTTTCTTATTCTGTGATACGCAGCTCAGGAGTTGAGTTTGTGGCAGAGTTGTCTCCTGCCTTTTCACAAAACAAGTTAAATGTAAAAGGTTTCCTAAGGAAACTGGCTTGCTCATGCCAGCGTTACTTAACAGTAATATGTACGTAAATGCCTTGAAGCTGACATTTTCCCAGGGGTGTGAAACCTTGCTGTCACTGAGGGGAAAAGCTTTACGAAACCAGATGAACTTTGAGGAGTCACATTAAGTATGAGCCTACATCTTTGCTTTTGTTGTGGCTCATAGCTGCCATATGCTGTGCACTTATTTATAAAGCAACTGCCAGTCTTTGTTACCACAGTTAGAATTTTAAGGCTGCCTTGGCAGAGTGGTCTCTGAAGTAAGTTAGAGGGGGGGAAAATAAAGTTAATTTCTTTCTCCAGCTTTCTATATACAACCTCACGCATGGGAAAGTACTGGGAACTGTGTGGTTCTGTAGGCAAATTGTCCAAATCTCTGCCTGTCTTCCCAGTAGAAATGAGGCCTAAGCTGCATCATATGAGGTAATAGGTATTACCTTCTCCCTGTAAGCTTGCATAGCATGTCTGTGTGAATTGTGGGGTAGCCCAGAATTCAGGAGAAGGTCTGGCCATGGGTGTGTCCATAAACAATGCTTTCCTAAAACTGAAAACTGTTGGTAGGAAAATGACTGGGAGAAGGTATGGGACTGAACCAGGTTTGGATTGCCCTTTTTGCATTAGTAGCCTCTGTGAGACCATTTACTTCTGGAGTAAATGGTAAAACGGTAAAAATACTCCTCCTGATAGAGTTCTGTCTTCATCACATCAGTGCGCTTGAATTGCACCTTAGTCTGGGTCCCCTTTATTGTAAGGGTGCAGCACAGACCTGCCAAGATGTGATCCCTCAGAAGGCTGGAAGATGAGGGAGTATGGATGAAAAGAAAGTATTGAAATACATACAATTTGTGTGTTCAAAAAAAAAATTACTCTTGGCTTTTCCTGGCATCTGTGCAGCGTTCTCCTTGCTAATTGGCCAGTTCCAATACTAATTAGCTGTGGAACAGAGTCTCTGGCAGTTACTTTCCGTCAGTGTTCACCGGAGTCTAAAGTATGACCTATGTTGACTGGTTCACTAAAAATGGGAAACAGTCAATTCTTTACGAAATGCCTGTGCTTCTGGCAGTAGTGAGACTCCTGCTCTATGTGTAGGTGTGGCTGCTGCAGCCAAAAACCTCTTCACTAGCATTCAGTTCATCCAACTCTTCATAGTTCCTCTCTGAAGTCCTTCTCTCTCTCTTTCTCTCTCTCCCTTTCTCTCACTCTCTCTCTCTCTCTTCCTTGTTTCCTCTGTGTGTCTGTGTCTGTGCACAGTGTGTTTTTACTGTCACAAAGGCACATTTTCAGACCCCTCCTCCTGTGGTGACGGACACCTTGAAGGTCCCAGTGATGGGACTGGCCTATTCACATCAAGTGAGTTGTCAATAGAACATGCTGTGTGTGGCCAGATGCAGTTCTAGCGTGACAAAACAAATACAGCAAAGTACAAATTTGACAATGTGGAATGTTTGTGCATGGGAAAGACTGGTGAATCCGAAATGGGCCAGGCACACTGTTGAGACTGGCTGCTTAAAATGCCTTTGCAGGTGAAGGTCTCCCAAAGACAGGACAAGCACCCCGAAATAAACAGCGGCTGTTGCAAGGATTGTTAGTGAAGGACAGAAGAAGTAAGGCACAAGGCTGAGTGTTCTCTCTTAGCCAGTGTCCCTAGAACCTGCACAGTCATTAGGGCTCCAGTCAGCTTAACTAGCCAAAATTAAAGTGCTTTTCATCACTCAGACCCCTGTAAATTATGTCAGCATTGGTGCTACTGGAGTATCCCACACAGCTCTGAAAGAAATGTTCCTCTTGAGGTCAAGCAAGCTAAACTAGGACAGTTTAGTTTAATCTGACCAGCTAGATCTCTACCAGGGGTGTGTAAGAAACTTCTGGGTTTCACTGCTTCCAGCACCTCGCTCCTAAAGCACTCTCAGAAGGGTTAACTTTCCAGTTCTTTTTACCTAAGATGTTTGTGGGACTGCATTCTTTGGCTGCAGTGGGAATTAGTTCAAACAGCTGACAATGCTGATAATGTTCTGGGGGGGTAAAAACATATTTAATATTAGCTCTTTAGTAAGCTGATGATGACATTCATGTGTTTTTCCAGTACGCTAAACAGGCCTGTAGAGCAGAGCTTCCCTGTGACTGGATGTCAGTTGTACCCTGTACAGCTGCCTCCTCTATGTGTAGGAAACCAGTCTTGTTTTCTTGTCAAGACCCAGACCTAGTCCCCATTAGTTCAATAAGAACTTCATCTAGAGTAATAACCTTCATTATTGATTCCAATGAAATTCTAGCATCCTCCTGCCAGCCTGAAATGCTGTGCTGTGCCTCTGACTTTTTCTGTTCCTTCTTCAGTGACGGGTGATTATTCAGACTGTGGGGCATTCCCCTTCCCTTTCCTCTCTCCTCTCCCCTTGCCCTTCTTGGTTTTTTTCTCTTCTTTCTTAGCTTTCCAGCTCTCGTCTTTCCTATCAGCCTGCTGCCCTGGGAGTTGGATCAGCTGACATTGGGTATCCTGTACTCTTTGCTGGTGGCTTGAACGCTGCACACCCTCACCAGGTACTTCTAGAGCGTAGAACAAGTGTGGCTGGTATTGTAACTGTTTGTGTCACTTGTACAGGCCTTGAAACTAGTGCGTGCATTGGTATCCTGTCTGTCAGGAACGAAAAGACTGTCGAGGAAATACAGAGAAAGCACAACCTGCACAGGAGCTGGGGATTGGCATCCCTGGCTTTACTGCGGTAGGGAAAACTGTGCTGAGAGAGCAGGCACTAGAGCTGTCTGCCTGCACCAGCACATCACTCGTCAGGATCTGCTGCCCCTGTAGCTGTCCAAGCACAGCACTGTAGCCTAGATGTAGGACACACTGGCAGTCCATACTGGCATACTGACATCCCTTCGTGAGGCAGGTAAACAAAGCTGACAGAAGTCATCTTCTGCCTGTGATGTTCCCACTACAGCAGAGTTTTGCTGACACAGTGATGGTGGCATGGAATAAACTATTTCAGTTGGAAGGGACCTACAACGATCATTTAGTCCAACTGCCTGACCAACTCAGGGCTGACCAAGTTAAAGCATGTTATTGAGGGCATTGCCCAAATGCCTCTTAGACACTGACAGGCTTGGGGCCTCAACCACCTCTCTAGGGAGCCTGTTCTAGTGTTTGACCAGTAAATGGTAAAATAAATGCTTCCTAACGTCCAGTCCAAACCTCCCCTGGTGCAGAAGCACTCAGCACTTTCCTCTCCACTTGTCCTCCTTAGGAAGCTGTAGAGAGCAGTGAGATCATAGCAAGAGGATATAAATTTTATCTTTTTCCCCCTCTTCCTGAAGGAAAACATGCCTGAAGTAGAGAGTAGTGGAGTAGGAAGGAAGAGTTTGTTGTGGGTGATCAGCTTCTACTTGACACCTCTTAGCTTCATGGGGGCCTGTGAGACATGCCAAAAACCCTACAACTTAGTCGCAGAATGATGGAATTTGCTCTGCGTTCCAGAATCACAGAATGTTAGTAGTTGGAAGGGACCTCGAAAGATCATCTAGTCCAGTGCCCCTGCCAGAGCAGGATCGCCAGCACAGGTGGTGGTGGCTTGATTTTGAGATGTCTGACTTGACTGTTCCTCTCCATCTCAGCTGATTGGTCCGGGCAAAGAGGGGGGAGTTCCCCCGATTCCCAGCCAGCCAACGCATGGCGCTCAAGCTGACCAAGAGAGGATGTGCACCCCGCTGGATGGAGTCCCCTGCTCAGCAGCTACTCCTTCTAGTAGGTAGGTCGGGTTTAGATGGTTCACCACTTGTGCTAGTCTATTTGTAATCCTGTCAAGATAAAACGTTTTGTTTTCCTCTTTTAATCTATTGTTTGTAACTTAACTAATGTCTTTCTACCCCCAAAAAAACCTTGCAGCTTTCTCTGGGGCTTGAGCCTTTCTCCAAACAATGATCTCGCCCATCTGCTTACACCTGATAAGTCACTGTAACTTCCTTACAACTACTATTATGTCAGCTTTAACTTTATTATCAATTTTATCTTTTTTTTTTTAAATCTCTCTACTGTTTTTGCTGATTGCAGAACAACAAGGTGAAGTAAGTTCACAAGCAAGTCTTAAATTCTCCAGAGACTTAATGCGAATTGTTACCAAAACCAGCTGTAGTCACTGCAAATCTGTTTACTGTTTTATTAAGAAGCTTTAGGCACAAAGTTACTGAAAAACTCAAATTGTCCTTGGTCACCTTCTCAGATAATTAAATCCTTTTTTTTGGTAACCATATTTCTTTCTTGTGAAGTCTCTATTGGAGTCACATACTTCTGAGTCAAATACCTTAAGCAGAGATTTTGCTATGAGGAAACCAAAAAACATAGTTGCGCTAGCACTTTCCTGGGCATACTATCTAAAGAGTCCTTATGCCAGAAGACAGCCATTTTTTATGTTTGTTTTAAAATTCTGAATATCTGTGGTAGAAGACAAACAGATCGTAAAAATAACTAATAGCCATGCAGTGAATCAATCATAGTGGCAGTGGCTGTTGGGATGTATTAGGCTGCTGTCTCTGTAACCTGAGCGACACATACAATTCTTGTTATTACTCTCAACTCCTCACAGATCTGTGACTACTGTATTCCTGAAAAAATAAGTCATGAACAGCAATTGCTGTGAACGTGCACATTCTGACGTTAAAAGTCAATCTCCGAAAAGAAAAGCCTATTTCAGTTGGCAACAACTTTTCATTCAGCTAAATAGTTTTCATCCAGCTTTAAACAAAAATCTGATTCTACAAGCGTCCCACTCCCCTTTTGCGCTTGAGACTGAGGAGAAATGTGTGGTACAAGGACAGAGATTGCTGTTGTCCTTCTCCCAATACTAGGAGTAAACCCAAAAATCAGAAGGAGCGTTGTAAATTATGTGACTTGACTATATTGTTTGTGCTTTGAGTCACTAATTAGTCTATTTTTCTCCCTCAGTGAGGACACAGAAACAGTATCAAACAGCAGCGAAGGGAAATGTGGCTCCCCACATGACCTTTTGGAGACTATCTTCATCAGGAAGGTGGGAGCTTTTGTCAACAAACCCATTAACCAGGTAACTAGCAGTAGGTCTTCTCAGAGGGCACCATAATGCCCTGCTTCTTCCATCTGTTCCTACACAGAGAAGCAAAAAGCACCCCAGTGCCAGCACAACCCCAGAAACCGAGTGCATATTCCTGCCTGCCACATTTTCCACAAGGTCTTGCCATAGGCTTGTTTTTCATAGAATCTTTTGGGGATGTCACAGCCATTGATTCTCCCCCACTTTGCCAGCACCTGGTCTGGTGCTCGGGTCTCAAAATGATCTGCGACTACTACAGGTTTATAAACTGGGTACAAGCCTCCCTGCCTTGAAGGGACACGCAGTAGACTCGTTCATCACTAGTAAGCAAGCACTGAAGCTCAGGTGGGGCAGCGCAGAGATCTGCCCAGTTCTAGGGCTGCTCTTCTAGGCCTTTTGGATGGATGAAGGAGAATTGTTTGGATTTGTAGCAGTTCATTAATCCTTGCCTACATTATTCAAGATGTATATAAGCCATCCCACCTCAGCGTATGTATCTGCATTGAGTCCGCTGAGTACAGTCTCTCTATCCTATGCCTTTCAAATGAGGTCGTGAGCCTCCTGCCTAATTGGCGATGAGATCTTGGGCAATTTTTAACAGGCCTGACAAAGACTTTAAAGATCCTTTTCTGTGCTGGGTGAGCAGAGCATCTTAGTGAAATTCTGTTTGCTGAATCTCCTCAGGTGACCATGGCCAACTTAGACATTCCTTTTGCCATGTTTGCTCCCAAGAATGTTGAGCTGGAAGATAACGACCCCATGGTAAGCCTCTTCCAGAGGTATAATATGTGCCTTCTCAGCATCCCTTATGCAACATTTATGCTATTCCCTACCTTGAACACACTTTGTTTTTTGAGCAAAGAACTAGTTATTCAGATGTGTTTGGCTTCAAGAAGTCTCCCACGTTAAGCCTTGAGCTCTCCACACTTGCAAATAAGAACATGTGTTTGCTGCCCCTGCTGTAGCATGTGTTTATTGTCGAACCTCCTAACTGCCCCCACACTGCCGAAGTGCAGAGACAGACATAAGAGCAGTACTCACTGTCTTTGATTTCTTGGGCAGGTCAATCCTCCTGACTCCCCAGAAACCGAATCTCCTCTCCAAGGCAGCTTACACTCGGAGGGCTCCAGTGGCAGCAGCACAGGGAACACCCATGATGACTTTGTTATGATTGACTTTGTAAGTGCTCTCGGCATTGCTCTCATGTAACACCTGCATCTTAGGTGGGCTTCAGGTGCTGGTACAAAGGCAGATGGTGTAAGAGTAATTTTCAGTGGGGGTGGAAGAGACTCACGATTCACAGTTCAAACTAGTCCCAAAATTGTAAAAACACTGATACTTGGAAACAGCAGCTACAAATTAAATACTTTCAGTTTCCTACCAACACCTGGGCTTGGCGTTCTCTCTCTAATGCCTAAAGGAGCCAGAGTCCAAGAAAATGCTCTCTTCCAAGTGCTCAGGCAAGCACAGATGTGGGCTGTTCTTCAGTTACTTAATCAGCATTATTGCAGCAACAGTTGTAATATGAAGATGTTTACAGATAGTGGGTCATAACTTTACCTGAGGTTATGGCAAAAGGGAAGCCAGTATCTCTGAATGGGGATTAACAGCAGTATCTTTGCTTCTAGAAACCAGCATTTTCTAAGGATGACATTCTTCCAATGGACCTGGGGACGTTTTACCGTGAGTTTCAGAACCCCCCTCAACTCAGCAGCCTCTCCATTGACATTGGAGCGCAGTCCATGGCAGAGGACTTGGTATGGATCCCTGAAATTTCTGTGGGAATCGTATGTTCTTTATAATGCTCTCCCTACTCCTGCTTTGAAAGAAGTCCTGTCTCCGTAGAATCAGAGAATAGGTTGGGTTTGAAGAGACCTTTAAAAGTCACTAATCCAACCCCCCTGCAGTGAGCAGAGACATCTTTAACTAGATCAGATTGCTCAGAATTCAGTCCAACCTGACCTTGAATGTTTTCAGGGATGGGGCATCAAGCACCTCTCTGGGCAACCTGTGCCAGTGTTTCACCACCTTCACTGTAAAAACAAAAAAAAATACTATTCCTTATATCTAGTCTGAAATTATCCTCTTTTAGGTTAAAAACCATTACCCCTTGTTCTGTCACAACGGGCCATGCTAAAAGCTCCTTTGCCATCTTTCTTATAGGCCCCCCCTTTGAGTATTGAAAGTCTGCAATAAGGTCTCCCCAGAGCTTTCTCTTCTCCAGGCTGAACAACCCCAACACTCTCAGCCTTTCTTCGTATGGGAGATGTTCCATCCCTCTGATCATGTGTGTGGCCTCCTCTGGACCCACTCCAGCAGGTCCATGACTTTCCTGTACTTGTCAGAGGAGAGACCCTGCCCCAAAGGGGGTCTCTCACTAATATGTTCCAGACAAATGCCAATTTGTTTGGGGCACACTTAAGCCTCCGAAACTGGTGTGTTTATCTTCAAGCTGAAAGCTGCTGCCGCGTGCTTGCTGTGGCTGTCATTGAAACCCACAAAACTAATCCTACCTCTGCTGTGTCAAACTCGGTGGCAAACTAGGCCTGATCTTGCAGCCTGAGCAGAGGTGGAATCCTGGTGTGGCTGGTGAAAGTCACGCCTGGGTGAGTGCTGGATTGGGCTCGCAAGCACTGTAGCATACTCTGGGGAGAAAATAATACCAAAGGCTAAAAGCTGCACGTGACTTGGTGGAAGGCAGTGACCTGAGCAGGTTGTGGTGCTGCAGCTGGGGAATTGCACAAGGTGATGCCCCAGTGTACCTGCTGTACCTGCAGCACAAACACACACTGGGCAGAGTGCCCTTCTCAGGGTCGTTTGCTGGATGCTGCTAAGAGGAATCCTAGTTTTGTGCACCTGGGAAGGGGAGCCCAGAGCAGTAGAGAGGGGTTGCATGACTCAGAATTTTAACCTTAGAATGTGGGTTTTATCTGCTGTGCATGAGCCCTAATCTGCATCCTTCTTTACGTTTCCAGGACTCGTTACCAGAGAAGCTGGCAGTCCATGAGAAGAATGTCAAAGAGTTTGATGCCTTTGTAGAAACCTTGCAGTGAAGCTGTTTTCCAGTTTTGCTGCAGCAGTTCTTCCTTCTCAACACATCCTGGAGAGTGACATCAAGAAATATCACCCCTGTTCTGCCTTTGTCTCACTTTGACTCGTTCCATCCATCAGATGAGCTTTCTCTGATCGCTCTCTTTAACAGCAGATACAGCTCATCTGCTGATTTTCCTCAGCTACACCACCACATAGTTCTGGACTGCTTTTCCTGCTCACAGTCAGTTTTGAATTTAAGACTTCAGTGGAGACACAAGAAGTCAAACTCCAATGTATGAAACTTAGTTTCTCCTCAGTCTCTGTTCTATGGGGAGGGGCTTTGTGAAAAGTTGCCATGTGCCCCATCCAAAGGTCTTGTGGTGTAAGTTCCTTAATTACAGCTTCGTGCTGACAGACGTTTTCCTACAGTCTCTGTTAGAGCATAGAAAGCTTTGGTTCATTTCCAGAGTCTGTGAGTTCAGCAGATTCAGTAGTTTTAAGTCCAGGACATCCATTCTGCAGAACAGGGCATCTCATCCCAACTTCAGTGTGAGTGCCTGGAGCCCAGGGAGAGACATCAGCTTTGGGACCTGTGTAATGCGAGTTACCTTTGTTTTCCTGCTTCTGAGGAGCTGGGTCACGTTGTGTAAGGCCTTCTGT